CCATCACCAGAAAGGCACTCACGGCTAACTGCCTACATTATTTTAGGAAATAGTTTGTTGGTTTTTTCTATGCTGCCCACTAGACTTTTGATCATTAAAGCATTTAGAAATATCTGGCATATTATTATGCCAGACTTTCTTAACTGTCCTCCTAGAAGTCCTGATATTTCTGAAGTATTTTTTTGAATTGTTTCGTGTGCTTTCTAGGCAAAACTGAGAGTGGGATGGAGTTTCATTGTATACCTTCCTCCTATCCCTTCTGACTACTTCATGTGAAGGTGCTCCTCTCTCCTCACAGTGCTCCAGAACCCTGTGCTCTCTCAGTCACATCTAGATGTTAGCTGGCTATAGTGTGCACTCCTGTAGCCCCAGCCCTGGGAGCCCGAGACAGGAAGACTGAATGGCAGCCACTCAAGATTCTGCCTCAAAGCAGAAAAGTTCAAAACCAAAACCTTAACTTATAGAGCTAATTACACTTATACAAATTACACAGTTTGTATAAATAAATACAAACTTTAAGTAGTAGGACTCTGAGATGTTCTCAGTTTTATGTGAGCTCAAGCGCAGTGCCATATATGACACATCCTGAACTAATTATGTAACCTGTCTCATTCCTCACCTCATGTACGATTCCTAAATAGATGCAGAGGTGAGCTCTTACAGCCAGGGAGCTGTTTTCTTCACCGTCCCATCGTCTCAGCTCTATAGCTAGAGAGACCCCACACCAAGATACACACAGGTGTGTGTAATACAGTTGCTGCGGCCTTTGTAGACTGAGAAAGCATTCAGAGGATACATGCATACAGCAAAACACTTCACATAAAAAAGAAAGAAAACATTGGCCAAGCATTGCAACTCATACCTATAATTCTAACATTCAAGAGACAGGCAGGAGGACTGCCAGGAATTCAAGGCCAGCCTGGCTATAATAGGAGACCTTATCTGAAAGGAAGGAAGGAAGGAAGGAAGGAAGAAAGAGAGAGAGAGGAAGGAAGAAAGAAGAAAGAAAGAAAGAAAGAAAGAAAGAAAGAAAGGAAGGAAGAAAGGAAGAAAGGAAGAAAGGAAGGAAGAAAAAAGAAGGGAAGGAAGGAAAGAAGGAAGAAAGAAAGGGGGGGGGAAGAGGGGAGGGAGAGAGGGAAGGAGGGAGGGAGGGCAGGCGGGCGGGCAGGCGGACAGAATTTTATATTCCTCTAATGTTGATGATTTCATGGAGTCTCTATGTAGCAGGACTGTGTATCACTCTGAGGTGGTACATAATCTAGAGGACAACTTGATCTAGGTCCTTCAGGAATCCCCTGGTGAGATAAAGAGAACAGCAAACATTCTTAGACCTTTACTGACAAGAACAGATTTGCCTCTCGTGGTGATGTTCAGAGGAAGTGGAGAGGGGTCACAGTGGGGTGGAAAGCAATTTAGTAAGCTGCGCTCAGCGTGGATAGTTCAGGTGTTTGATTCCAACAGGTTTATCTGTTGCCTAAATTCAAGATCTAAGAAACTTGCTAAGAGTAGACTGTTGGGGTGAGCAAAGCCAGAGGAAATGGAGTCCGCAGCAGCATGCAAGTGAGTTAACAGATGACATCATTGGGCGATGGCACAAGGGCCTGTGCCTTTCTCATGCTACAGACACGCAGTTCTGACATCAGCAAGTGTCCTGGGTAAACAGAAGAGAAAAACATTTTTCCCAAATAGAGTGTGCCTTTTGTCCCTCTCTGTGTCTAATAAAGACTGTGAATGAGGGTTATCATGGCGAGTGTCAATGTCTCTTTAAGACTATGAGAGCTGAGCTTATTAATGAAGCCAAAAGAGGGTGAACAGCTGAATTGACTGGGCTTTGTTTATGAAGTTGCTCTTTTTATTTTTCTTTGCCACTCAGTCTCTTATATTAAATTCAGTACTTATGTAACTGAATTTAATAAATCAGTAAAAGAACACATTTGAGGATATAATTACTTAGTTTCCCTAAATAGGCAACTGGATATCATGATGGAAATATTTTCATTTTGCCTTTTAAAAACTTTGACCCGATCTTAGAATCATTCCTTTAATGCGTTGGGATGCTTTTTCAAAGAATTTGAGTGAAAGCAAGTGTTCCTGGGGACAGCTTTGGGATTTGAGGAGTTGGTTCTCTCCATCCACTTTTACCTAGTTTCAGAGATCCAACTGATGTGTCAGGCTTGGGTATCAAGCACTTAACCCACCGAGCCCTCCAGCCAGCCCTCTGTGCTTATTCTTTTCTAGTTAGAATAGGAAATAAAGGGTAGATAGCAGGGCTGGAGGATGGCTCCATGGTTAAGAGAGCTTATTGCTCTTCAGAGGACCAGATTTTGTGTCCCAGAATCATAGTCAAGAGCTCGGAAACTACCTGCTTATAACTCCAGCTCCAGAGGGTCTCACACCCACATAGTGCATAGACACACATATAAATAAGATATAGATCTTTTTTAAAAGGAGGTAGGTTTTTTTTGTCTTATTGTATTTTTACCCCCAAGAGATTAAAATTGAACTAATATTGGAGTGTCTTCTGGTGATAGAAAATACCTGGCCCTGCTCACCTATGGTATTCTGAGCAGCCTGAGATGAGTTAAACCGACATGACACCTCAGCTGGGAGGATCTTGTTTCAGACTGTTCACTGTTGTCTGCTTTCTGGCAGGATGATCAGGACGGTGAATTTGTGAAATGGAGAGTAGAGAATTCATGGGGTGAAGACCACGGCCACAAAGGTAAGCTTCAACTACCAACTCAGTGTACCTGGAGTCTGCTCCACTCTGTCTCTTAGGGTAGAAAGCTGTTCCAGTATAAAGGGGATTTGTTGGTACTCAGTCCCTCTGGTTTTCCTGTCCTGCAGGAAAATAGCATTTTGTAGCCCCCAAGGTTCCTATGGCCTACATGTCCCTAAACTCTCAGGTTAACTTAGACCAGTGTATGCTGTTATTTGTTCTAAACCATACTGACTGTCCCGGACCGTAACAGACCCTCTTGGCTGAATGGAAGATGGTGAGTCTATTGCAGTATACTTGATATGTGGCATTTCGTACATTTTTTGTCACACCACCAGCACATTAGGAAGAAGCCTTCCAAAGGGAGAATGGAATTGGCAAAAAGAAACTTTCTGTAAGGCTCTCTTAGGGTTCTCTTATTATGAAGTCTAACGTTACCATTTAAAACTTTTTATACTGCAAATCCAAACCCTGGTAGAAATCAGAATAAGTTACAGTGGCAAAGCTAAATAACATAGCTATATACAAGTGGTAGACAAAATTTAAATATGTATAAATAAAAGAAAAGATCTCTAACTGACCGCTGATTAATAGTTTTACATGTTCTTGGAAAACTGAGATTATTTTGTAGATATATGAAAAACTTTTTTTTTTTTTTTTTTGGTTTTTCAAGACAGGGTTTCTCTGTGTAGCCCTGGCTGTCCTGGAACTCACTCTGTAGACCAGGCTGGCCTCGAACTCAGAAATCCGCCTGTCTCTGCCTCCCAAGTGCTGGGATTAAAGGCATGCGCCACCACTGTCTGGCATATAAAAGACTTTTAAAGGCGGTTTTATGCTTTAAATTTTAGAGTTTTGCCGGGCGGTGGTGGCACACGCCTTTAATCCCAGCACTTGGGAGGCAGAGGCAGGCGGATTTCTGAGTTCGAGGCCAGACTGGTCTACAGAGTGAGTTCCAGGACAGCCAGGGCTACACAGAGAAACCCTGTCTCGAAAAAGAAAAAAGAAAAAAAAAATTTTTAGAGCTTCAAGCTGAAAATGGGATGTGGGGATCTAGCTCAGTGGTAAGAGTGCTTCCTCAGCAGGCATAGCCCTACCTAGTCAGTCCTCAGTATGGACAGCAGCAGGGAGAGTGAAAGAAGGAGAAAGAGGGGAATGCTGGCCTAGAGGCACAGCTGTTACCTCATCATAAAACAAAAGCAGTAGCTACAGTCACTTGTGTGATATGACCAGCATCTCCTGTGCTGGTTGTGGTTTGTGGCTAGCTTTCTCAGTTTGGTGTTTCTTTCTTTTGGTCAGTGGGTTCTAGCTGGGAAACCTTAGTGGAACAGCATGCTAGAGTAGTTACAAGAATGAAAGGAGTGAGCGTGGAAACAGAGATGCAAGATAGACACTTAGAACCACATAAGCACACGTCTCACCCAGCAGGAGTCAGACAGCTTAGCAGGAGGGAGAGTAAAGGAGGATGAGATCACAGCCCCGCTAGCTGGGTCCCATCTGTTAGAACAGTGATTTTCCCCTGTGTTCTTCAGAATTCTGATGTCCAAGGCCAGACACTAAAGGAAGTTGGAAGTGATGGTGTTTCCTTCGATCTCTGTACTCAGTTTCAGTCTAACCAGGGAACCTGTTAGACCTGAGTCTAACCAATGAGCTTCACAGGGCTTTCGTATGTATGTAGCTGAGCAGCACAGCCCTGTATGTGAAGGCGGCACCTAGAGACTGTTAAGTTGCCCTTCCAACCCTATTCCTCCTCCTCGTGAAATGATCACTGGTGGATTTTGGCTAAACATCCCTGGGGACTGCAGTTAAGTGGAGCAGCTCCATGTGTATATGAACAAATACAAGCCCTGTTAGTGCAATTCTGTCAGTGTTTGGTGATCACATGTCCCTCTTCTGTGAGTCTTTTTTTTTTTTAACGATTTATTTATTTTATATATGTAAGTACACGCTATCTTCAGACACACCAGAAGATGGCATTGGCTTGCTTCCATTCCAGATGATTGTGAGTCACCATGTGGTTGCTGGGAATTGAACTTAGGACCTTTGGAAGAGCATTTAGTCAGTGCTCTAAAACTGCTAAGCCATCTCTCCAGCTCCATGATTCTGTAATTTTTAAGTTCACTATAATAAATTATAATGAAGTACTTTAAAAATTATTTTCTTAGGTAAATTTCATTTTAATACAAACACAATCGGCATCTGGGAGTTAGAAGCTTTAACAAAGCTGGCAAAAAGTGAAGGTGATCTAGTTAAGTCTGTAAATCAGTTAAGAAATGTACATCTATTAGCTGCCTGGCATAGGAGAGTCACAACAGTGGTTTCCCAGAGTCAGGCTCATCCACTGCACCTAGTGTTCTGACCCCTGTAATTTCCCAAATGCAGAAAACTCACCTGTGTAATCTGCAGAAGTGGGGATGGACTGTGTTCATGCTTCTCCCATTTTGATTTTTTGTTAAGAGGATCCTTGTGTAAAAAGGATGGGATTCCTTATAGCAAAAATACTGGGTTCAAGTAATTTTTCTCTTCCTTCAGGTGAGCCTCTCTGGGTCCTGTCTCATCTCTGTAAATGGAACTATGTCCAGACTAAAATTATGTCTAAAGTTATAACTAAAGTTTTATGTCTAAGACTAAAGTTACAGCTTGCTTTGCTAGCATTTTCCTTCGGTGACATTACTGGGTTTTAGATACAACAAAGGATGAACACTCGTGAAGCTAGGGGTGTTCTCTGTGTCGTGTGGCACATTTACTACTCTGACACTAAATACGTGTTCCAGAGTATTGTGGCCTCCTTGCTAATTTCTGTCACATGAACCCTTTGCCCATCTATGAAGTGTACGTCTTACTTCTCAGTCTTGCAGCCTTTGCTGTGTTGACAGAACTGGGAATCTGCCCTGTTAGTGAAGACTGAATACTTTTTTGATTGTTGTTTTCTTTCTTTCTTTCTTTCTTTTTTTTTTTTTTTTTTTTGGTTTTTCGAGACAGGGTTTCTCTGTGTAGTCCTGGCTGTCCTGGAACTCACTCTGTAGATCAGGCTGGCCTCCGACTCAGAAATCCACCTGCCTCTGTCTCCCAAGTGCTGGGATTAAAGGTGTGAGCCACCACTGCCCGGCTGTTGTTTTCAAATAATTAAAACATCTGAGATTGTAGAGCCATAAAGATAGAGGTTGAACTGGGAATGGTTCATTCAAAGCCAAAATAAATTCCTCTCATGTGTTTCTTGGTAATGTCCTTTCTGACTTAACAGGAAGGAAGGAAAAGATGACCTAATTTTATTGACACATTTGTCCTTTATAGATCACCTAGTGTGTTATTCTGCTGACAGTGTGTGCTTACTCCAGCAAGGTCCCCCAATCTGTCATCTGGTGGACATTGACTTGTGTTTGTGGAAAGCAAGACCCTAGAGTCTTATTTCCAAAGATTACATTGTTAACAGTTTGTTACTATTCACTTTGGGATTTCTGTCTGTTTCTCCAAAGCAACTTTGATAATATAAGCTGGAGGTAAACAGAACAAAGATACCTAGGCAAGCTGCCTTTGCTCTACCCAGAGCCAGCTTTTGGTTTCGGTCTCCACTTGTCGTGTTCCTGGAATTTCCTGCCCAGAAACTACCAGGTAGATTAAATAACCTTGTCCACAAAATGGGCAGAGACCAAAAAGAGACAAAAAGAGACAAAAGAGACAGAAGGAAGATTTGGTTCTTACCTTGATGCCACCTCCTGGTGACTGCAGCAGAACAGGGATACTTTTTGAGTAGCATCCTGTGAGCTGGTTCCTCCCCTGCTGGAAGTACTGGTCCCATTTGAGCCTCATTTATGGAATCTGTCAGAAATGGATCTCATAGTGAGATAAGGAAAGAGACTGGGATTTGCCACCTTATCTTTTAGTTAAAAAAAGGTGATCTGGTAAGACATTTTGTAAGCTATTTAGAAGTTTAAGTTCAAGGAAACAGTGTTGGTGGCGACTTATACTTGTTGCCTTAGGCGGTAGACGTAGGAAGATTAGAAGTTCAAAGTTATTCTGGATGTCATAAAACCTGGTGTCAGCCTCTCCTCCCAAAAAATATTAAAGGAAACCAGAAATTGATCCGAGAGAGCATAGTCGTTATACCAGAGTGACCCACAGACCCTCAGTGATGTGTGATGAAGCCAAAATCACAACCCAGACTGACAAAAGAGCTGGTTTTCCTGACTGCCACACTGTGCTTTCTCAGAATTTCTGTTTTGGAAGCATTTGGCCCATTCATAGAAATCACAAGACTGTTCATGATTGTGGTGGTTTGAGTGAGAATGTCCTCGTAGGCCCATACTTTTGAATGCCTGGTTTCCAGTTGATGGGACTGTTTGGGAAGTACTAGGAGGCATGGCCTTGTTGGTGTAGGTATGTCAATGGGGTTAGGTTTTGGGTTTTCAAAAGTTCACACCATTCCCAGTTAGTGTATTCTCTCCCTCCCTCCCTCCCTCCCTCCGCCTTGTGGGTGTTCTCAGTGGAGCTCTTAGTATGGCTTTAGCCCCTTGCCTGTCTGCCTGCTGCCATGCTCCCTCCATGATGGTCGTGGACTCTAACCTGAAACCGTAAGCCCCAAATAAACTCTTCTATAAGTTTTGCTAGTCATAGTATCTTACCACAGCAATAGAAAAGTAACAAAGACAATGCTCTTTGGTGACCAGAAACAGTGGCTGAGGGGATAGAAAACTCTATAATGTTATAGAGGATCTGGAAACACAGTGGTGTTAGAAGAGGCTCCTGGAGTCTGAACAGGGTGAGGTACCTTAGGAAGTCTGTGACCAACATTAAACATAAAAGATGAAACATGTAAGCCTGAAAAGAGACAGACCAGACACAGCCAGCTCATGTTCCCAAGTTGTTTGTCCCTCTTCTTTTTAAATTTTTAACTTGTTGGCAGAGGGACTTTCTAATATATTAAAGGCAAGCAGAAGGATATTAGTGTGTGTAGGTGTTATCAGGTTGTTGGATGGTCTCTCCCATGATCAGTCCTAATTCTGTTCATAATTGGCTTATCAGTCTTGAGACTGCAGTACTATTGGATGCTGGCTACCAAGCAGAGATCTGGAGTGTGGAACTGTTATGACATGGGTCTTGGTGCTTGTTCAGTCTGGTTTCTAACTCCTCCTCCGTATGTGTGCGTGCGTGTGTGTGTTTGTATGCATGCATGTATGTTGAGGACAGTGTCCTGCATTGTAGCCCAGGAGGATCTCAGTGATCCTCCTGACTTAGCCTCCTGAGGCTAAGATTACATGAAAAAGTAATAGCGTAATGCAGCTCTTCAGAGGTGATTGTATTTCCATTCTACAGATTCTCCTTATTAGATAGAAATCTCTATCTTTTAAAAATTATATCATTTTTCATTCTGAGCCCCGATGAGTTTTGCACGTCCCTAGTGCTTTGCATCTTTTAGACATGTGAGCTTTTGAAATAATTTTAACCAATTTTTTTAATCTTTCAAATAAATCTGCTTGTTCCTAATTTCATTTTAGTAAAATGTCCAGACTTGCTCCTAAAAAGGAACCTTATGGTGTTTTTTCTGTTAGAGAAACCTTAGCATATTGAGTATTAATCCAAAAGAAACTTGCCAGTTTATATGATGTGCTTTATAATGTCCAATATCATGAACAATAAGTATCTCACTAGCCAGACAGCATGTAAGTTTTAAAACAGTATAAAGTTTAGCACACATCTCACTGCATCCCTGTGATTTTTATATTGTGTAACCAGGTGTGCTATCTTGAAACAGTTGGTTCTCAGTCACAGATCCTTGAAGGGCTTGGGAGGCTGTGCCTCTCTCTGCTCTCTCAGCAGCATGGCTGCTCTGTTCCCTAAGGGGCCATCCAGGTCTCTCTAGCCATCCAGTGAAGTGATGTGTCAAGCTTTGTTCAGACTATCTATAGACAGTTACTCAAATACATAGTTGATGATACTCCATATTTCTGTCACAGGTACCCAAGAGAGATCTTTAGATGGCACCTTGCCTTTTGAGGTTCAGTTTGCTACTGTGTGTGTAGTGTCTATTTCACTGCGTGGCATCCTGGTAGGACGTGAGTGTATGATTGTACCTGTGCTGCGTGTGAAGCAGGTGAAGGTTGTTGAGAAGTTTTTTTTTGTTTGTTTGTTTGTTTGTTTGTTTGTTTTGGAGAAGTTTTGATGTATATGGGCTGCATGGGATTGGAGCAGAGTTGGGATTCAGGTCTCATAGATTTCTTAGTTATATATGACTTACAGACGACAACCAGTATTTACTAATGTGTTTGAGGTTCACTTATGGAGAGCTAGAAACTCAAATAATAAACTGGCTGTAATAAGAGTAATGCCACCAGTTGAAAGCAGTCCCCGACTTCCTGGATTGGTGAAGATATAAGGTTGTTACCTCACTGTAGGGTGTTTCACGCTGCTCCAGGGTTGGTTGATTTAGCTGCCACTGGTCACATCTGGGGAGTTGAGTTCTGTGCAAGGACTTTTCATTGCTTGTCTTTATTAACTAAATGCCTGCATGCCTTGGGCTAATTAATTAGTCCATATGAGTACAGGATGCACAGGCTATCTGCTTCCGTGGTGCTTCCTTATTGACAAAAAGGTCTGGAGACAGCTACCATTGTGGACACAGACATGCTACAGATTCAAGGCTTCAAGCCAGGCATCACCTTCTGAGAGAATTCTTTTTGTAGTTAACAAAATGTAATGTGTGTATTTGTGCTTTTTCCTGTAAAAGAATCTACTTAGCCATAAGGAGTTGTCTCTGCCATTTTTAAGGATGGAGATTAATCTGGATCCAGGCTGTTGGGCACCTCCAGGTGTCACCTCATCCAGGCTGAGTATGGGATTGTCATGGCATCCAGCCTGTCTGAGTGTAACTTTCTCATCTATAACTATAATGACAGTGGCCTGTCATTGTTCTGTGGAATACAGAGGAAGGGCACACACCCTCGGCTGCTGTCGTTGATGCTTTAGACTGATGGGAGCAGGAGGCTCGCTTACTTTCCCATTCAGGAAAGACTAACTCGCCCATGCTTCTAGCTTCAGAGCTCTGAGAACAGATCTCAGCATGACTGTTGCTATGTCACAGTCACTGGACAGGTGCCCCACAGTGCAAGCTTAGTTTCGTGAGAAAAGATGGCAAAGATGGGTAAACCCGGTGCTGAGGAAAGGCCATTAGCAGTGGCTTCAACTCACATTTATCAGTGGGATGCAGAGACCCGTGCACAGCCATGATGGAACAAATGTCCCTGACCCTCAGAGGAATTCATACTTAGTCTCTTGGGACGTGGAAACAGGAGTTGAAGAGGGCTGTGATGAGACAGAAGTGGCATTCGTGGTGTGCTCCTCAGACTGTAAGATACGGGGGAAATAGACCGAAAAACTAAGAAGGTGACTTCTCCAGGAAGGCAGGTGATGGACAGAGGAAGGGCTGGGTGGCCCCTCAGTGGG